TTTTCTTTACGATTAGCGCCATCTACCCACATTAGGAAGCGTTAATTTATAAATTAGTTTGTAATACACGATGCCATCTATTGACACGCATATTTGAAGTTTAGAAAATAATTTTAGCTCATATTCTTATATTTCATATTAAAGGTGAATTAATTAATATTTTCAGCCATTTACATAATATAAACTACTTCCAGGCCGTTGATGGAAGACGGAATTTTAAACTTTTTCAGAGTTGCGATCTGCAGTATGGAGATTAACAGTCCCCTTGAATTATGGTTTAAAGTTAGCTAGTGGCGAAAACCGCACAGACTTTTCTTAGGTTCATCCCAAATTCTGTAAATTGACGACCTTAGGTAATTTGTACTAAAACTTTGTTCCGTTTTGATTTGACTGTGTGCTCCAGCTAGTATAAAATTATGCTTGTAATATATCGTAGCAGACATCCTTAACATATTAGCGCGTCGATGAGATCGATCCCCATTAGTATACGTTACATAGACTGTTCACTGCCATTATGTGAACAATAGGCTTTAAGCATCAACTCACTCGTCTTTATCCTTAACAGAGGCGAACTTAAAAGCTTCCAGCTCAGCCATGAGTGTAGTCTGCGTGTGTTCAAGTTGAAGCTTCTCCTCCTCCGTGGTCTGCTGTAGATACGCCAGGCGCTTCGACGTCTCCCTTTGCGCGCGGAAACGATCGAATACTTCTTCTGCGTCTGTTACTCCTGTTTTAGGAAACAAGTGATTATCATCTACTTTTTTTATTATACCAAGGGACGGGTGGGACAAGTTGTGTGCAGGGTACTAAGCGACATGCCTATCCATGACAGTTGCAGTGCCACTCAGAGCATCTAAGAGGCTATGCCACTGCGCCCGTCACCCTGAGACATAAGTTGATAAGTCCTGAGTACCTGTAATTTCACCAACACCCTTATCTTTTTTCTATTTAATTCTCACATTCCTGCTTGGCAGCAGAAATGGGTAAAGTGGCAGAATACTTCCCTGGACGAATTGTTCTGCGACTTAATGTCAAAATATGACATGGTCTCTTTATATTCTTAACTGCGGTTACATTAAGGTTAATTATGCTATTAATATTCCGAAATAAACGATACTCGGTATATAATATGAACCGGATGTAAAGTAGTAATAAGTAATTGCCCGATTTGTAACCAGAAAGTTTCGAGTACCATCATCAGCAAGAATCTTTCATAATCAAATGCTAATAAAATTATTCTAATTACTCTTCAAATACATTTCTAGTAAACCGTAATGGTTCTATGTGATCCACATTGGGTACCTTAGATTCGTGTCCAGTTGGACGTCTAAGGGCGGGTTCCCATTATGCCGTGACGACAGATAGTCCTGCAGTTTAAAGTGTCGTGGCCTGTATATTTAAATGAAGTTGTTCAGACAGTACGACACGACTAACTGTCGTTCACGACTTTTTTGACGTTACGTCGACAGACTGTCGTGACAATCAGAAGAGCTAGAACGACAGTCGTCTGACGATAAATAAACGTCAAGATAAAAATGTGACGACAGATAATCGCTGCTTCAAACTATTCTGTCACGAAAACGACAAGGTGGCTGCAGTGAACCAATAAATTGTCGTCACGTTCCAGTGGGAACAGCTACATATCTTTCTACATTACTTTTGATAATGGCGACTCTCCTTACCGACCCTTAAGGTATACGAGAAGCGCACTATGACCTGCGCAGGGACCATCTAAGTCAGGTTTCTAACCCCAGATCAGCCCGTCTGCACTGCGTCCTCTGTAAGGCCTTAGGTGAGCCGCCCCAGGTGCACGTATAGCGCCCTCCCTATTTTCCCGATAGGTATCGGAGCTGTAGGCACGCTGACTAATGGTTGCCACCGCTGAGCCGTCGACTCTAATCCGACAACCAAATCTCCCTTGGTGGCGGAGCTGTAACGCACGCTCACTACGTGACATCGAAAAACAGCGTCTCTCCAGTTCCGAAATTCCTACGCGGTTGGAAGGACCGGAGGATGTCTAGCTAGGATCTAATGGGAATAGCTAGACACGACAGTCGTTCAATGATAAAATAAACATCCACGACAGATAGTCGTCACAGAGAGTCAACGATACATAAAACGTTACGACATAATGAGAACGCGTCTTTAGTGTTGATACAAATACTTACCAGTAAGTTTCATTAACCTCTGGAAGATGTCCTCCATCTGCTGAGCAGCAGTGGCTTCTTCGGTGATCACATCGCCTTCTGTTGATCTGTTCGATTCCGTGCGAATTGGGCGCGCTGGAAATAATATCAAAATCATTACAAATTGTTAAAAACAATACCTAGATCATATATCGTAGAATAGAAATGCTCGACAACATTTCGACCTCTCCTACGTAAAGCATCGTATGTCGAAATTGCCAAGTTTACAATGAGCGTTTTAAAGTTTGGATTTGGGAATTGAATTTGTGGTTGTTCATCTAACCGATATCTAGGATACTCTATGTGAGTAACGAGTTTTGCCGAATAAAACTGAGACATGCTAAAGTCACGTGTTATGCTCATTTTAGTGAATTCAAAACTTTAAAACGCTCTCTTGTAAACTTGACAATTTCGACATACGATACTTTACATAGGAGGGGTCGATTTTAGTTATTGATCTACGTAACAACGTATCATGAATTCGAGATAAAAAACTTAATTACAAATTATTTTTTAAATGACCGACCTCAAAAATTCGTGGAATTACATCTATTTGCCAAGTTTTATTGAAATCGGTTACCGGAAAGTCCCCTAGTTTGCCACCCTTAGAAGTGGGATATTTTCTACAAATTTAAATGGGATCAATACCGAGGTATCCTCTTTCCAACAAAAAAAAAAACAATCGTCAAAATCGGTTCACAAATGTTGTAATGAGTATAGAGTAGAATATAGATATGAATAGAATGATATATAGATACAGTCGAATTCTCCTTCTTTTTTAAGTCGGTTAAAAATCCTCCCATAAAATGTTCACGATCCATGCGGTTTTTGTACGAGTGCGTAAATTTTTTTTTTTTGCTACAATCGTTTATTATCACGTGTACAATTGTCATTTAAAGTTACTGTTTTTTTTTTACTTTTCGTTACACTTGTATAATGTAAGGTATGGTAGGAAGCGCGTGATTGGTCCATGAGACGGAGAGGTACAATTCTATAAAAATTAAAAGTATTTTTAACCAGTGCGATTACAACCTGCAGTTTTCAGGATAGTAGTTACAGACATGGATCAATTACAATAAGCTGATGTGGTGTAGATAGGATTTTTTTTACCAGGCGGTGGAAAGATCCTCTTTTCAAGTTTCTCCAGTTCTCTTTTCCTCTCTTCGAACCTCTGCGTGAAGTAGGCTCGCTCCGTGACCCGGGCATGTTCTGCATCATGCGCACGCGCAGCCTCCGTTCCTGTAGCAATAGATGCGCGCATACGCATCTCCGTTGCTTCTTCACGAACAAACTGAGGACGAATCAAATTACAGTTAATGTTTAAAAATAGATTTATGGAATAGAACAGGTTTCTTCGCTCTTTATTCATTAATTTCTTGTGTATGGGTCAGAAAGTGTCCACGTCCGGACATTGGTCTTATTCTAAAAACAGACAGAATTATGATCCTTATTGAAAAACCGCTGGGCTTGAACTTTTTGATCAAAGGCTGGTGCTCCATGTTGAAATTTAAAAAAGTGTATATAGATTTATTTTTTCAAGAGCCGTAAACGCATAAATCATATTGTTGGCATTAATACAAACAAGAAAGCACTTATATATATAACAAAATCTCCTGAAATAACTCCTTTTTAGGATTATTATACCTGTCTGAGTTGTGTTATACACAACAAAATACGAAAAACTATAAACATTTTGATTTTAAGAAGATAAAATCAAAGCGTGGGAGTTCACGCCTGATGAAGGATTCAGTCACTTCGTTGGTAGTACCTATATATACATTTGCATGACTTGGTGCATTCTTGATTATTCTTTTACAATGTTCTTATTGTGTGTCGTTGTACTACATATACACACCTCCAATTTCTTGATTTCATCTCTCTGGTTTTTCAAAAGCTGCTCCATATGACTCAAAGAACTCTCGAATTTCACAGAGTCGTCAACCAGCGCCTGTCTGTAACGAACAGCATAGCATTTTAATTCAGTTTTTTTTTCCTTATTATTTTTCCTTACCTGATAGAAAAGTATTTCTTTTTCACTAATTCAGCTTCTGTCCATTGAATGAGGACTTTGTGGATCTCATTTTCCAAGTGTGAAACGTTCTGAAAAGTAAATTATCAGATAATAACTTACTTCTCTATGACTGATGTAGCAAAAGATATTTTGTTGTGAAAGATCAATAATTAGAAGAGCCAACTTACTTACCTATTTCTGCCGCCAAGCAGTAATGTGAACATTACTGCGTTCCGATTTTGAAGGGTCAAGGTGCTGATGGGTGCAAATTACAGGAACATGGGACTTCTCAAATTATATATAATAATAATAACGCACACACTCAACATAGATCTCTCGAGTCTTCCTTGTATAGCGGCGGAGAGCGGTTGTGCGGCTGTGCGCTCGCTGATTGTTGTTTTGAATTTGTGCTCGTGCTGCTGTGATTGGTGAGCGGTGTCGGTTTCGTTTTCTTGTCGCTCTTGAACGGCTCTTACCTGTTTTCCTCCCCTCGGGGGGAGTGCGACCGAGATAGCAGCTTGGTGCTCTGTGTGGATTTTGTGCGGCGATTTGAGTAACTACAATTGTCGTGCCGCCGAGCGGCTCGAACCGACGACCCGAAATCCGCAGTCAACCGTTGTTGCCGTTCGACCACAATCTACCTGACATCACGCCGCGAAATTAGCTGTAGCACTGAGCGCGCTACTGACGTCACTTACACTTCGTGCTACTACGTTTGGGGGCGGGACGCTACGGCTCTACGACGTGCTTCGTGCTACGTGAACTTTACTCTACGCAAACCCTGCTACCTGTTAAGTGGCTAATTCATAATTCATTGTTAAACTTTACATTACTGATTAACATCTTGGCGTTGTCCTACGACTCTGAAAAAAAAAAATCGATTCATTCGATATGCCTCTAAAGAGAACTCCCCCCCCAGCCCACCGCCTCCCCTGCACGTAGCGAGTCAGAGCCAGACCTTGCGGGTTCTACACCATATGGCAAAGAACATTCCGTAACCTTTAGACAGAAACGACCTCGTGAAGAGATAACCCTGAATGATCTTATGGATAATATGAGGTCTATGTTTAAAGAGTTCAAGGAGGAACAAGACCATAAATTGGCCAATTTACAGTGCTCTGTTACTGATATAAGAGATCAACAGGACAAAAAATTAAATTCTCTTCAAAATTCAATCACAGAAATAAGAAAACAGAACGAGGATATACATTCATCCATAGAGTTTCTCTCTCAACAAAACACGGAACTGAAGGAAAAGGTTCTCAAGATGGAGAAAGAGCAGAAAGAATATACAAATAGTGCCTATATTAGAAACCTGGAAGAAAAACTGGAAACTTTTGAAAGACAAAATAGGTCATCTAGCATTGAAATCCGTAACATTCCAGTTCCTAAATCTGAAACAAAGGAAGACCTTTTAAAATTATTTCAAAAAATTATATTAGCTTTGAACGTTGATGCGGCTCCTTCAGATATTTGTGATATTTACAGGGTCAACACTAAGGTGCCGACATACAAGCCTATTGTTTGCAACTTAAATAGTATACTTGTAAAGGAAAAGGTGTTAACGAGCATAAAGAACTTTAACAATGCTCACAGAGATAATAAATTCAGTACAGAACATATACATATCCAGGGGGCTTCTCAGCCTATTTTTATTTCTGAGAATTTAACACCAAAAATGAGAAGATTATTCTTTCTCGCGAGAAGTTTTGCAAACACAAATGGCTACTCTTTCTGCTGGACCTCCCGTGGAAGGATATATTTGAGAAAAAAAGAAGGTGAAAACACTGTTCGTGTAGACTCCGAAACGGATCTAGCAAAACTGGAGAAGAAGAAGTGACTAGTTTTCGTTAACCATGAAAATAAGAGACCTTTCCTTTTCGCATTCCTTTTAATTTTTTTAATTATTTTGTGCTATTTACTGTTTTTTAGTTTTTTTGGCCTTCTTGGATTCTTAATCATTTCTTTCTTAGCTATTTTTACATATTTTATCAAATTGCACATAACATACTGTCAAATACACTATACACTAAAAAACTCGAAGTTACACAACCATCCACACACACTTTACAGTCTTACACACCCAAGCTCCAAACCACACATCTTAAACACAATTAATTGTCCACTACATGAAACACATTTCCATACTTGCAGTCCATCATATAAAATAACATATGCTCAAATTATAAAATGTAAAATAAAAACAACCACACCTAAAGATATACAATTTAACTGTTCAAATGATCCCCTAAATTGCTTCAAATATAATTTATCAAATTTATTATGAATATCGACCAATTAAATAATGACGTAGATGATTTACAACATTACGATTCTTTCTATTGTTCGCCAGATGAGTGTTTATCGTACATTGATCCTACCCGAAATAGTCTAAAAATTTTTCATGTGAATATAAGAAGCATAAACCGAAATTTTGATGAACTTACATTATTCTTAAACAGACTGGACTTAAATCCGGATATAATTATTTTAACCGAGTGTTGGCTCAGCAAAGTGGTTAATATTCCGGACCTCATTGGCTTCAACTCCCATCGTTCTACTACACAAAATCAAAATGATGGTGTAATCATATTTGTCAAAACGCAGATTACTTGTGACGTATTAGTGTCAAGCCTGTGTGATGCTAGCGGTCTTACGTTCACTTATAAAAATACCATTGCATTTGTGGCTGTATATCGTTCGCCTGCAAACAAAAATATTGACAACTTCTTGATCTCTTTAAATAATTTGATTACTTCTCTTGCAGCTTACGAAACAATTGCGGTTATTGGCGACATTAATATCAATATTTTATGTGATACAAACGATCCTAAATCGGAGTCCTATTTGAATCTCCTCGCATCTCATGGTCTGTTACCTGCGCACTCGTTTATTACTCATGATAAAAGTTGTCTAGATCATATCATGCTTCGGTCTAACAGAAAAGCTGTTACTTTAGTTTTTGACTCTGGTTTCACAGATCACGCTCCGATTCTCACATGCATTGATCAAAATAAGAATATTTCTCACTCTAGCATACATTCACGTATTAACTACCAAAACGTAGTAAATGAAATAGCGCAAACTGATTTCTCACCCATTCTCAGTTGTAAAAATGCAAACATTGCTGCCGAAATGTTAGTGTCAAATATATCGATGTGTATAGTACATAATACCAGTGTTGTCAGGGTATCATGCAGGAAACGGATTACAAAACCCTGGATCACCCCGGGAATCCTAAGGTGTATCCGAAATCGAGACCGTTTGCATAAAATGGTAAAAAATAATAAAAATAATGTAATAATCAAAATTACATTCCTTAGGTATCGTAATTTTTGTAATAAGCTTTTAAAAAAATTAAAACGTATTTATGAGCAAAATGAACTACAAAAAGCTAAGCACAACCCGAAAGCCACTTGGAATGTCATTAAAAATATAAGTAACCTACGCACTAAATCCCTTCCGTCTAAAGAGCTGTTAAATCTAACAAGTGCACCTAAAACATCCTTAAATATGGTAAATAAATATTTTGGTAACATTGGCTACCACCTTGCATCCGGAGTCCGTCAGGCTCAACAGTTTTCGACAATTAGTATCAACAAACCGTCTCTACCTGATAATGTGAATTTGCTGGGTAACTCCATGGCACTCCTGGAGACAACTGAAAGTGAAGTAGACAATGTGATCGCTGGTCTTCGTGCTGACAGCGCCGTGGGATATGACGGAATTTCATCTACTGTTCTCAAATCCGCTCGAGGCCCTCTTACTCCTGTTATTACACATGTATGTAATCTTTGTCTTCGGTCAGGGGTCTTCCCAAACGTTTTTAAAAGAGCATTGGTGCATCCTATACATAAAGGTGGAGATAAGCGGGATCTTAATAATTACAGACCCATTTCTGTCCTCACTTCCTTGTCGAAAATTTTAGAAAAGATTTTAAATGTGAGATTGACCGGCTTCCTAGATAGATATAATATTCTGTCTGAAAATCAGTATGGGTTCAGGAAAGGTTTGTCAACTGAAGATGGGGTTATTAAACTCACCGATTTCATTGTTAAAAATATAGATAAAAAATATAAAGTCATTGGAACATTCCTTGATCTATCGAAAGCATTTGATACCGTTTCTGTACCCATACTGACACACAAAATGGAGGCTATCGGTATAAGGGGAGTGGCTCTAAATATTTTTCACGATTACCTCATGGGACGTAGACAGTGTGTAAAGGTGGATGCTTTTGTTAGTGACGATGAATATGTAAGTTACGGCGTTCCTCAAGGAAGTGTGCTTGGGCCTACCCTGTTCTTGATATATATAAATAATCTCTGTCAAATGAAAATCCCAAACTGTAACATAATTACCTACGCTGATGACACAGTCCTGTTGACTCATGGGGTCACGTGGGAACATGCCCGTGAGCATACTGAGAATGCACTGCGTAAAACTGCTAACTGGCTTAGTGAAAACTTGCTTACTTTAAATGTCAATAAAACTAAATATATTACCTTTTCTGCATCTAAAATTACTCAACCTAAAATAGATACCTTCAATATTAAAATGCATAACTGTGATATCTTTGATGACTCCTGTGCCTGCCTGAATTTGACTCGTACAGAAACTATTAAATATCTCGGCGTTCACCTCGATAGCACCTTAAGCTGGTCGACACATCTTGATACTATGACATCTCGTGTTCGTAAACTCATGCCTGTTTTTAGAAAATTAAGAGTTTCTGCCGATTGGAACACATTAAAGATGGTATACTTTGCCCTAGCGCAGTCTATTTTGACATATTGTATTCCGGCCTGGGGTGGTGCTTGTGCTTCCCACTTTCTAAAGCTGGAAAGAGCGCAGAGAACTGTCCTTAAATTAATAACCAAAAAATCGTTCCTATATCCAACTACTAAGCTGTACATGGACTGTGAAGTTCTCACAGTAAGACAACTTTATGTCCTTCAATTGATACTACGTAAACACTCTTCTCTCCCTTTAGATGTCAATATAATAAACAAACGCATGAAATATAGAGTATGTCAACCCATCCCCCATAAAACTTCTCTTGCGGCTAGACAGTACTATGTTCGCAGTTCCTCTGTATATAATAAAATAAACAAAATTCTGGATATCTACACCTTACCATTAAGAAAGCTTAAACCTACATTGAAGGACTGGTTACAGAAACTAAGTTTTGCTGCAACGGAGGACTTAATTACTAAACCATGGTAAAGCTTTTATATACATAGTTCATATATATACATAAACTGATTTTTATGGACTGAATCCACACGTACACAAACACGCACACACACTAACACACACACTTACACACACACACACGCACACACACACACACACACACTCATACACAGACACTCACGTTCCTTCACACCACACATAGTTTATTATAATTTATTTGTCATACTTTACCTGCACTCTCTTGTCGTGTTAAATGTCTTTGGCATTATAATGTCTGTAAGAAATCTGGAGGAAGACGTAGCGTCTGTCATACAGTTTTATTAAAAACTAGTACGGGCGCTATAGATCAACCATACTTAAAATGTTCCTTAAATAATGTCATGTAATTTTTAAGATACCATGTAATTGTATTGACTCAATAAAAAGATATTATTATTATTAGATCTGCACTAGGGAAACCCTGTGTCGCGAGTGCCATGGACACACACATAGACAATCACAAATTACACCCAAACTCACGAGAGAAATAAATGTAGGCCATACAAATATTTCTCCCGACCCGGGAATCGAACCTGGGACCTCTGCGTGGCAGTGGCAGGCATGATAACCGTTCGGCCACGGAGGCCAGTGATAGTGCCCCTCAGATCTTTGCGATTCTAATTTCTGAGTGGCACAATGAGTGCTAGGGCCAGGCGTGTCACTTACCATTTAGTTCAGTTTTTAATCCTCGAAGCAAAAAGAGGTTGTTATAACACGTTGTATACCATTGTGGAACGCAAATAAAGATATTGTGCTGTGCTGTGCTGTACTACGAGTACATTCTATAAGTTAGAAGCCTTTTTTTGTTTGTCTGATGGATTGATCTCAAAGTGTTTATTTAATTTGAAGGCCTACTTAATCGGGATGGTTTTCAGCGTCATTAATGAATATCATCATCAGCTCGTTTCCCATTTAGTGTAGGGATCTCAGTCACACAGTGAATATTTATTTTGTTTCCACCTGTCCCATGGACTTGAAATTTACTATAGTATGGAAATTATTCTAATAATACCATTACAATAATATGATAACCTTTATCAGATGCTGCAACCAGGATAATCAGCAAATTACCCAATTCCTTAACAACTTACCGTAGAACTATCGTATTTGGGTTCATTAAATTGGTCTCGACGAGTTATTAGCTTATGGATAGTGACGTAAAGCGTGAAACACACAGAGAACGGGTGCGGGTCGGGTGCGTGACAGGTCGGGAGTACGGCGGTTGTAATTATTATTATTACGTGTCTACACAGATTAGACCCGCCGTGCTCCCGACCCGACATGCGCTCGACCCGCACCCGTTCTCTGTGTGTTTCACGCTTTATTAACTTTTTTTATAATATCAAGTGATGGGACGAACAAGGCGTGGGCCTGGTGGTTGGTGACACGCCTGTCCATAACAGTTGATGTGACACTCAGAGCATTAAATCACAGAATCTGAGGGGCACTGCCACTGCACCTGTCACCTCGTGACATAAATCACCAAGTCCCATGTGCCTATATAATCTCCAGCATCCTTACCCTCCAAAACCGGAACGCAGTAATGCTCATATTACGGCTTGGCGGCAGAAATAGGTAAGGACTTTTTGGAGTGTACTGTTTTGAATCGAGGGTTTTTTAATTTTGTTTTGTTTGTTGTACATTTATTTTGTATCACGTCCAGTCAATACTTGCACCGTCATTTTAAAGTCCAAATCTAAGTAACTATGAAAATAGACAAACCTTCCTCGCCGCACTGTGTATTTTAGACTTCACAAGCTCTCCTTTTGTGCTTTCGATGAGCAAATATTCGTACTCCTTCTCCAATTCTTTCAGCTTTGACTTTTTCTTTCTTCTCTCGTATTTTAGGAGATCTAGCATCTTCCTTTGTTCGATTACCTTTAGATCTAGATTATGCATTATCTGTGAGAAAGACATTTATTAATTAAGCTGAATGAAGATATCATATCGTCGCCTTACTTACTCAAACTCGTATCTTAAAGAACAAAGTTACTGAAATGCTAAGAATGGATTGTATATGCATACAAATTTTGCAGCTCGATTTCACCTCATATTTACACACTGGATTTGACATATTCTCAAAGTAATGCATCCTAATTAACACCCTTGATAAGAAATATAAAATAAATAGAAAGTTTTGCTATCTCCTGAATAAATCGCTCTTTGTACGATACGAGTTTGAGAAAAGGCATCGATACGTGATTGTTTATTTCACTCATTAGTGATATTAATATATTCATCACCATCGTTAACTTTATGTATTATACTTTTTTTTAAAGCATAACGTCTTCTCCAACGAAAATATTTAGGCTCCAATTTGCTAGTTCATTACGCTGGCCCGATAAGCCTTATGGACTTTACGTGCTTTCAAACCTAGTGTAGATAGATCAAGGAACTTGGGTTATTAACTGGAGTACTTTTTTTATATCCTTGGAAACCTGATGCCTAGATATCGTCCAAAATTACCTGATCAGTATTCTTATTCCCAATGGGACAAACATCATTCAGATATTTCTTGATTTGGATCTCTTCGTCGCTGACGACAGCTCTGGCTTGCGCTAGTTCATTGATTCTCAGTTTGATTTCCTTCTTCAGCGTGTCTATCAGGTTATTGTTTTGTCGTTTCTCTTGCTCATTCTCCTCGTAGTAAGATTTGCGTTGGCCCTCTTAAAAATTAACGTAATATGTATAATTCAGTCTACATAAAAAAGCAATTCTTGAGTCTTCTTCACAAAGTCACAAATTCACATAAGGGGAAAGTGGGCAGTGATCCCTTTAGCATGCAGGTAGTATCAATCTATGACGTTTGAAATAAATATTGTTAAAGTGAAATGTATTCAATGTATATTTAAAAGCGCAACCCTGAGTTTCTTGCTCATACTTCTCAGGTGACTCTGACTTACGAAAGAGCAGTAGACTTTAACTACTTAGACGATTTCAAGTGTAATTTGCTTACCTATGAAATAAAGATGGTTTGAATTTGAATTAGTCGGAAAAAGTTATACATTCATGTAATAAGAGTAAAAAAGTCGTTATGTGTTTTGCATCAGCTGTTTCTACTTCCGTATGGAAGCGTCAACGTCCGAACGGCAACATGAAAATGATTGTAACCTAAGTAGAGATGGGCAGTGGATTAAAATCTAATCAACCCGTCACCGAGTTAGTCACCAAAGCCTTAACAAAAGTTTTAACCCATTTCTGCCCAAAATCAAGGGCTGAAAAGGCGAATACGGACTTCATTTTATAATATCAAGTGACAGGACTAACAAGTCGTGCGCCTCATGGTAAACTACACGCCTGTGTATAACTGTTGCAGTGCCACACAGCAGCAGCTAAATCGCAAAGATCTGAGGTGCATTGCCACTGCGCCCGTGACTCTGAGACATAAGTTGACAAGTCCCATGTGCCTGTAATTTCACCAGCACTCCTTACACTTCAAAACCGGAATATAGTAATACTGACATTACTGCTTGGCGGCAGAAATAGATAAGGTACGTATTTCTTTGGACGAGCTCTTTCACAAGCTATTGAATTTGGTATAATTCCATACTTATTACAAATTTCGGTGTAAAATATCTTTTGTAGACGAAAAAGAGGCAACTCCACAATATTGCAATTCTGTGGATTGTCACTACTAAGAATAATTAGATTTTTATGAAAATTGATTAAAGTGCATGCGATCTAAAGATTTTTTGTATCGATATATATTTAAATGTGATTTTCAAGCTAACCCATTCAATAGAAAGGCATACCAAATCGTCTAGATCAGAAAGCAATAAACATTTTGTAAAAATATCATTAAATATGAGCAAAACTCGATTTACAATTAATATTTATCGTGTTCTTAGGTTTTCGCGACTGTTACGTAGGAAATGAAACCATTTTCCGGATTTAAATCGCGTACATTTTTTCAAACAAACCAACGTTTCGGGCCCATTACAGGTTCCATGGTCACGGTTGACCAGTTGTAAATAATTTTTGCTCCCGATGTTGGGCGTTAACGGGTTTCAACTCGATTTAAATGTTAAAACTCGGGTGCTTGCCCATCTCTATACCTGGGTAATAGGCTAGTTAATTTTAATCTCTTTACAAATGTTACTTTGTTTATTAAACAATTATGTTTAATAAACACTCAAACGTAATTGGGGATGGGTCGTCATAAAATCTATCTTCCTTATATCTTTTCTATGGTTACAAGGATTTCGATGACATCCGAACGACCGCGTCTCATCATTTAATGTAAAACATCATCACCTCAAGCCAATTTCGCGTCAATAAGTAGGTACGGTGACTCCTTAAGTACTTGAAATTGATCTCTAAATCCTTGAATACTAAACACCTATATTACTATATAGGTGTATTCCATATTATTTGGGTTTCGAACCCATCCCTCATCGCATAGTTTGTCTCCAAGGACGCCAATGCTACTAATGTCGGCTGACAAGATAATGATACATCCGGAGGAGACAATTTATCGATACACTTGAAATAATAACTGTTAACTGCGTATGTAAGTACAATGTCAATCAATATAAATGCATATCTAATATAATATACCCCCTTTGTAGGAGACCTTTGGGATTATTGAAATGTATCCTACCGTGTGCATGTTCTAGTTGATACAAACTATCCGAGAGATTAGAAATAGTGCATGCATACATGATGTATCTTTGGCCATCGATAATACAGACAGTAAATTTTAGTATGATATGAATTTAGGAAAAATTTGGTGTTCCATTTCAACGTTTGTTTTTTATTTGTTCGTTTCGGGTAGTGGTTTGTTTTCATAATAAATACCCACAATTTATCCACTAGTCAAAGAAACACCTGTACAAAGTTACGATACAGTACAAAGGGTCTAGATACGTTTCTATTCCTACAACAAACCTGACAACTGTATCTTTTTCTTGATTTCGAATATTTTGGTGTTAATCGTTGTAAGTCGGTCCTCGGACTCGATTTCGAACGGATGTTTTTGATAGCAAGTCGCCATTGTTTGTTATTTTCACGTTTCTGCTTGGTCAAATTCACTGTTATTCTGTAAAACAAGTTCACAGTTGTGTAGCAACGAATTTATTGATTAAATATCAACATCCAACAAATAGTTAAAATTTACGTAATAAAGTTGAATCTTAAATATAACGCTTCTTTTTAAACTATTTGTGCGTCTGCAGTATTTTGTACGTTATTGTAAGGTCTTTGAACATAAAAACCACCCCTATCGTTTCAAATTCACCCCTCGTAAATTCACTGCAGTTACTAACGCCATCTGTGATATAAGCTATGTACGACAAAGTCCAAAAGCTTTATGATTGGTCGCGCGAGCCCTCTGCCTGCTGAATCGCTTGATTTCTCCATTGAATCAACATTCCTCCGCGTATTTTTCTATGTGTGCGTAATCGTATTCTCACGGTGTTTTACTGAATTTTCTTTAAATTCATGACTCAAATAACATAAACTAATTACTAAACTTAATGTTTCTTAAGTTTCAGTTAAGAAAAGGAACCTAAGTGTTAAAAATAAGTTCGTTGTAAGCTGCGCGCACGCACACAGACGCAACGGCGGCCATTTTGATTTACCGTACGCTGTATATTTATGAACAAAGCCGTCAGATGCGAGCGGGACGCGGCTGCGCATGTTCCTACCGGGCTTTTCGTTTATTCCGAACGTGTTTTACCGCTAAAATGACCAATTTATACAATGTTTCGACGTAACAACAGTTCAAAAACAAAATGAAGTGTGAGTTTTTACATTTAGTTCCGTGAGTGTTGATTTTGAGTGGTTAAGCGACATCGCAGAAGTAAAACAAATGAGTGTGATCCATGTGTGAATGTTGTGCTACAAAATGTGGTCGAGAAACTTTATACCGGATTATGGGATTCGACTGTTGTCCTGGTGCCTGCTGGTGACGACCTTGGCGGCCAGGATTCACGGCGCCGAGGGTAAGTCTTAGTTTGGATAGTTTCCTGTAGTTAGGACTGGTTGAGCTTATGAAAGCGCGGTCTGCAAGGCGATGCGGCCGTGTTGAGATGGTCGCGCGCTTTACGGAGCTTTGCGCTGAGCGGCGTGCTTGTAGAACCGGGAGGGTAATATCTCGGTTCTCACAGTTCGTACCTTGAGAAACAAGTCGTTTTAAAAACTGGAGTGAAGTCAACGCATCGCCTTTTTTAATGTTTTTAATTGTGAGCAGTCCTAGTGAGTTTGTTCTATAAGAAACGGTTCTACGGGGACACCAAATTGCTTTCGTATTATTTTCGTAAAGTTGAATTTAAGGATGGCAATGAAGAAATTGAAAGAAATTGGATTAATATATACATTAAATTCTTTTTTAGTTGTAGTTCAACTTACCTACATTTACGGAATTAATTATATAGAACGATTCCAAAAAAAAAAAAATTGCTAAATATTGACAACTTGTGTGGAAAAGCATTTTCCATTCAAATCATATTTCGCTTTCAGATGTAGTTATTTGACTCTCTACGTACATACATAACTCCTATAGGAAGACTGTCTGACTGACATAAAAATGATTTTAAAAACTTTGTAAGGAAGCTTTGAATCATTTTATAGCTTGATTATTTGTAGATATCAATGCCGTTCCTTTCTGACTTTAACCCTTTCCCAGAACTGATCCAGAACGGTATTAGCGACAGCCTTCACATTTGCATGTGTTTAGAATGAGCCTTCGACCACTAGATCAACAGATACGAACGCAGTTTAATTCCAACCATAACCTGCACGATGTATTTGTCTAAACCTAACCTGTTGAATACAAATTATCCTCGGTAATAACGCTTCAGTGTTTTTTTGATCCAACACACGTTTACTGTACGCTGTACGCAGGACCTTTTGAATATTGATTGAATAACTTTTGTGTAAGATCAGAGAAAGTAGCTTTTAAGATTCGTTGTGTGTAGGGCAATTTACTTGGAGGTACTTATTTTGTGTTGGCATGTATACCTTAGGTTTATGGCATGAAATCGCGCGTGTCTGGAAATGTTAAATACGTCTTCTGTTTGTGGATTGAGGGGAATCATTTCCATGTTGTTCTAATACGAAATCTTCATTGTAAAAATTATCAAGTAGGTAATGAGTTATTGTTCATATCAGTGAGTACGAAATAAGCCATAGTCCATCTGTTTAGGTACTTAACTAAATGTAAACAATCTTGAGATGTCTATTTAATGAAATATACATTTATAAAATGATTTTCAGTTACCTTCGAATACGAAATACAAATTCTTAGCTTAACTTAACTATTGATTTGTAAAGTCTATGTTTCAATAAAAAGATGTATCAACATTGTTTACATTTAGTTAAGTACCTAAACAAATGGACTATAATATCCTTATTGCTAAGTAAATAAATGAATACAGTATACCAATAAATTTAATAAGTACACTAATTGTAAAAATCGAACACTCACAAAAAAATCCTTGGATTCGAACCGACGTCTTCTAAATTACCGTGCCAGACGCTATACCAACTAAGCCACGGAACGAACCAGCGGACCTCACGAATTTTTCTATGTGCTTGCGTCTTGTCTTTGTATTTGGTTGTTCAACGACTTTTTAGTCGTAGCGAGATTTATTACCCAGTTAGTACCTTTACAGCTACCAGTCCTGGCGAGAGATGTCGCTATTCGCTGTATTTAAATATATATATATATAACAAACTAGTGGAGTAATTTCACAAAAAATATTTGAATATCTATTCAATAAAAAATTCAATATACTAATTGTATTTCTAAAAACTAAATATACAATCTATGTTTGTTAAGAATATGTATGTGTGTAAATACTTTGGTACGGATAAAAGTGTGTAGTAAGGATATTACAGAAAGGGTTGAGAAGGATTGATGAAAGTTGAAGATGAGGATATCACGGAGAGTGTGATCATCAGTGGACTAGACGCGGGCTGGGGTTCTACACCTATGTACTGGATAATCCAACGTATCGCACGAAGCGTTCCGCTTCCACATTTGCGAGCGGATACAGAGTCGAGATCCCTGCTGACTTATTCCTCGAAAGCTGTAACTTGGACCTTTTCAAAGCTAGAGTGAATAGGCATTATTTAGGTGTGCATGCTACATAGACGAGCTCATCGCCACTTTCCATAAGTAGGGATGGAGGTCAAATGTGCACTTATTTTATTTAAAAAAAAATTGACTATGAGGACCTCGGTAGCCCACGAGTTTGCACGGTGCACCCACAGTGACGGATCTGGTCTGGGTAGTGCCCCAAATCCAGATCTTTAGTCTCAGACCAGATAATCGGCGTGATTGTCATGCACATATCAAACTCATTCCCGAGGTTTGAAACAATCAGGAATCAAGCGACTGTGTAATACGTTCAGGAAGAGATATCCACAGCCGTTTAGCAGACACTATGATTACTTAATTGCATGTTTGTTACACTAATAATAAGTTAATTGTGTGATGATAATGTTGACACTGAAACGATCTTAATGTTACCTAATTGCTAATATAATATCATGGATTAGAATAAGTTTATTGAATATCATTATGTTTACCAAACCAGCAGACTTTACGAATTTCTTTACATACTAGTAGATTTTTTTTATTTTAAGGACTTTTTGCCTTAGCGCCATCTGTGAGAAATCTATGAAAATCAATGTTTAATTGTAAATATTACAAATTCCCTTGCTTAAGTTCGTATTTACTTTCCTATAAAGTATCATTCATTCATTGTTTGAGAACAAAGAATGTATACAAAAGATGTTTCGTTAAACATTGTTTTAAGTTGTCGGTTTCCGCTAACACACGCCATAAGTTACAGTTTGCAAGCATTACTTGAGATAAGATTGTGTTACATACTCAGAAATATGAATGTTTGTCTAACTCTCCGATATCATTGTTATTTTGTTCCCATGAAATGTTTTAAAGAGGAACATAAACTACAGTAGTTAAAGGCTTGAGAACGTTATGGTTACATATTCACTGTCACCCATGATTTTTGAAACCAAATTTAGTGTTGCCAAATGTCAATTTGTTTTGACGCCAATTGTTGTAGGCAACTTATTATTTTTTTTATAAAGATTTACGCAATGTGAATATAATCCTTTGTTTTGTCCGTCTTTTACATGGCTTTCGTAGTAATATAGAAATAAAAATGTATATGTTACTGATGTGAATGTATTATTACATACATACTAAGGATTAAGACCATAATATATTGAAATGAAACCCTCGAGATTTGTTGTGTCCACGTCCACAAAAGTTTCTGATTCTGAAGAAGTATTAGATCCCAGTAGGAGCACGGATCTTCTCCGAGAAGTCCATTGTCCACGACACTGGTCCTGTGCGGGTTTGGGTATTTCACACATTTTCAGGGGCAATATAATGCGCAGCTGAACCTATTTTCATATATATGGGTAGTCATTTTTTGTTGTTATTATCTTATACTGGACAAACCACAAGAGATATATCAAATTTAAGTATTACGGAATTATAGATCTTGAAAAGATCTACAAAAAATAAAGCATTGGTCTGTCTCCTATCGATAACGATAACCTGTTTTGTGTTTCGAAATTTAATATTATTATTTTCTTTAACAAAATGTCAAAGTCAAAACATTACCCGTCTTTTTATCTCTTTTCAGTTATTTTATTGCAGTCGGGTTATTGTTTTTTAAAACAATTTACGTTATTTTCGAACATATAACGATATAAGGTTTATGACTTTACCTCTCAGCCAGCCGTGACCATGGGACAGGTCAAAAGTTTCACAGGCCCAAAGCGTTAGTTTATTTGAAAAAATAAAACAAATATTTAGATCCGAAAAAATACTTTAATTTTCAATGTACTTCTTTATTTTCAAGTTATTTACCTGACTGCCTGTTATAAACGGATGTCGTACTCTATTTAAGGAATCATTAAAAATTAAAAGTGTAGCACTAGTAAACAAGTTTCGATAGCAATCTAAGGCAGGTTGTAAAGATGTTTCATTCACCCTGCGCTTGCGCATACAACGAAATGCAGATGCCGTGTTATCCAAACACGTCGAACGGGGTGTCTCTTTATAAACAATTGTAATTAGTGGCCAATTGTCTCCGGTCGTGCAATGAGGACAATTGTAAAAGTCGCCACTATACGGTGTTTGATATAGTAGGTGAATTTCTACGCCTAGTGCGTAATTATTTTCCGTTTAATATCAAGTCGTGCGCCTGATGGTAAGCTACACGCCTATCCATAACAGTTGCTGTGCCACTTTAAATCGCAAAGATCTGAGGGTCACTGCCATTGCACCCGTCACCCTGAGACATAAGTTGACAAGTCCCATGTGAATGTAATTTCACCAGCACCCTTGTACTTCAAAACTGGAACACAGTAATGCTGACATTAATGCTTGGCGGCAGACATATAATAATTGGCAAATCGTCAATAATTTTAACTTGATTAAATATATGTATCAGTGTTACGTGGGCCATCGAGTCGAAAATTACACTTCGTTACCTAAAAATTTACATAATTTTTGCTGGAAAAATGATTGTTTATTTAATCAGCTGGTTAAATTATTGAATTTTAATCATTGACTTACAAATAAATGGACGACGGGTCTAATACAAAAACCTCGAAAAAAATGTCCCAAATCAACCTATTTAAACGTAGTGACATGTAAAGGAATATGAACAAGCTAAAACGTTGAATTTAAATTGTAATGTCATCGCAGTACTGTCTAATTTTGCTTGCTTCGCTGTCAGTCGAACAAACGAAGACTAAAGCGTGAATGACGCTCTGTATACGATTTTAACGCCCTATAAGTTCGGACACTTTTTAGCGTGGACCCGACGTCCATATAATTGTAAGTCAATGGTTTATGCTCAAACTAAAGCTCAAGTTTCTCTGATAAATGTTTGAGTACATATAAAAACCCTGGCTGTGTTAGAATTAGAAAACCATGCACGAGATCAGTAATATCAAA